GTTCGAAAGATAAGAAGATAGAAGAGACAACAAAGGATCACGCACACCACAACGAGATAATTTTTCTAACAAGAGAGAATGAGGAACAGAGTCAAATGCTTTAGAAAAATCAAAAGACACACCAACACACTTTACACCAGCATTCCAAAATTTAAAGACGGTTGAAGATAAAACAACAAAGCATCCAGAGTAGAATGTTTAGGACAAAAACCGAACTGTTTGTTTACAAAAAAAGAGTATTTCGAAAGATGAGAAAAATAAAACTATAAGTTAGACGTTCAAACACTTTAGAAACAACAGGAAGAAGTGAAATAGGGCGATAGTTAGAAATATCGGCAAGAGCGCCTTTTTTATGAACAGGCATAATGAATGCAGTTTCTCATAAAGTTGGAAAATTGCTAGTAGAAAGACACAGATGAAAAATGAAGTGAAGGTGAGGTGAGAGAATGTCAGCACAAGAAGAGAGAAAGGAAGAAGGAATTCCATCAATACCAACAGTAGACTTTTTATCCAACTTCTAAAGTAAACGCTCAACATCCCGTATGGAAAAGTCGAGGTGTTTATCCATCGTTGGCAAGTCTGGAGTGGTAGAAGGAGGAATTTGCCCCTGAAGAGAAGAATAATAAGAGGAAAAATGAGAATTGAAGAGTTCAGCTTTATCCGCATCTGTGGAAACAGATTTGGAGCCTAGAAACAGAGACTGAGGTACAGTGGAGTGAGAAGAGGATAGTCTCTTGATAGAGCTCCAAAACTTGCGAGGATCAGAAAATAAAGAAGAGAGAGACCGGAAGTAAGAAAATTTTTCACGTCGATAGAGGAAAAGAACAAGATTTCTTGCTTTACGGAACTCAGCAAGGTTAAGAGAAGTATAACGGCGTTTAAGTTTACGAAAACGCTGGTTACGGATAGTGATAAGATGTGCAAGCTTTGGAGAAGGCGAGAGAACAGAAGATAGAGTACGAACTGGCATCAGTGGGACGAATCTACGGATGATCGTTTACGTGCTCAGTCCAAATGTGGACGGCCGTATCAGCATCGGTAGTCGTATAAAGGCCATGAGGTATAAGAGAGAGAACACGCCGTAGTTCAGGCCACTGGGCCTTTTTAAAGTCATAACGATAAGAAGTAGAAGAAAAAAGCGGTTAAACAGATACATCAAAAGTAGCAGATAAACAAAAATGAGGAGAACAACCAACAGGGAGAAAATAAGAGAAAGGAACATTGTTTCAGGATCTCTCACCTACCTCTATTCACTACACATACAACCTTTCTTTCTCTTCCTTCACCTTCATTTCATTCCTTGTTTTTTTTTCTTATGGAAGAGGGTAACACATTGTAAAATAAATCCTCGAATTATGTAATGACAATTTGCTGCTTTAGTTGGAAGGTTATTAGGATATCTTCATCTTTAAAATAAATATAGTTTAAAACAATTAGTTTTGTAACGCAGCTGTCGCATTGAATATCAATGGCAGTCATAACTCGTTGTCAAACTCGAAGATGAATAAAACTATTAGAATCGCGAGTTGAATTTTAATGAATCGTATAGTCTTCATAACGTTCAATATGTACTACACTCGGCTATTCTCAGTATTTCAGATTGTTTCCTTGTTTTCATCTCACCGAGGTTTTTTATCTGGTATAATAAAACGAATTTTTCCATATGAAAGTAATTCGAAATCATAGGAGTTTGTAGAGTTAGATATCTGAGATAATTTTTAATTTTGATAATTAAGTCGGATCAGTTCTAAATCGTTATACTCAACTTTATAAAATGTTAATGAATGAAATGAAACAACTTGTTGAATATCAGACAACTCACGTGTATTTGATAATGTTAAACAGAAACTACTGATCTCTACTTTCAGTTAGCTTATCAAAAGAAAAGTAGTGAAATGGATTTTTAGGAAAAGGAAAACCCCAAGCAGACTGTTATTGAACACAGCTTGTTTAGAAGCTAACACTTTGTCGCTCGAAGATCACCTTTAGAAAATGCAGTGAAACCATAACATAGCTAACCGCCATCTGTAAAACATCGGAAACGAAAAGTCAAGCCGGAGGGTGTACGACGTCTAAGAAACGTCACGAATTAATTTCCAGGACAAATCTCTACAGCCACTGCAAAATATCCAAACACTGCGCGGATTGCGGCACTTTGCTCCTAACTTCTTCTCTTGACATATCTTGAAAGAGCTAGAAAAATTGAACACTCTAGTCAAGTGTTTAATGGAAAAAGTTAGTTCAAGACAACGTTTTAAGAATATTTCGAATTCTAAAGTAGTCTTTCAACTTAGGTTGTCGATCTTAACTTAGTGTAAGTAGTAGCTTACCTATAACGAACGAGTAAGACTATTTTATTCACGAAGACCTTACATCTATACTTAAAGCTACTTCAGTTTCTTGTATCAATACTAAAGTTAAGCGAACGCTTAAGTTAATCTTTTGGACAACTAAAGGTAAGTACAAGACTATTGATAAAACGATCTTCTGGCCTCCTTGGCGTCTACAACTCCAAGAAGGCGATAGATATTTCTCTATTCAGAACGCACTTAAATAGGATTAAAGAAGTTTAATAGTCAAACGGTATAGAAATACTAAGCCCAAGTAAATAAATAAATAAACATGTATGTATAGTAAAAAAAACCCAAAAAAACAACACGCTGAAATGCATGTGAACTAATCAAATATTACGTCTCTGCCCCTACGCATTTATTCAGGAGTTCGAAGAGAGATAAGATGTTTAGCACTACAGTCAATATTGACTGTGCACATATACGCTCATAATTTATGGAATAAAGAGTCCTCTTCAATATCAGTTACAAGGTATCTACGTAATTTTGGAGACAGTTAGAGAAGTCTTACGATATAATTCTCTGACCTGATCTCCAGTTCTTCATAGAAAGGGAAGGATCAAAATGTTAATGGTCGCCCATCTCATGTGATTGGTTAGTTTTTCTTCTGCCGCATATCTCGCTTTCACCCTTCTCCCGTTTTTCTTTGTCTTACAGGCATGTACTTTCAGTACTCTTGGATTTACCTTGACAATTCAACTAAGAAGATGTAACAATAATGTTTTTCTTTGCAACACTTTGTTCTACGTACATTTTGTTATAAAAATCACTATTGTGCAAAAAATTAGAGGACAGACACGATATTGCTACTAGGCAGAAAAAGACTTTCATGGTTCGTAGACATTTCTTTTAGACTATTGAGAAAGATCGTTCTTTCTAATCTCGTTCTATGAATTCAATCTTGATGTTTAAACTGTTCTTTTTTTCAAACTCTTTTTCTCACTAGTTGTTTATTCATCTGCTGACGGAATGAATCAGTAGTCCGGTATAAAAGAAAGTTTTATTTGAAACGAGATAAAAAAATCAGATTAGAAACAGAATTTATGAAGCGATATCATCTGTATTTATATCATGACGAATCATTATGATTGAGACTGACTCATCACTAGAAAAACAAAGTAGAGCAAAACCAGTAGATGTTGCGACACAGCGCCGAAGCGTTATTGATATAAGTTTTTGGTGATTTGAAGAGTCTGCTGAGTAACTAAAGTTTTTTCTTGAGTAGCGCGTTTTCTGACTAAAATGTTTTTTGATTTGTACAAAAAAATGTGCCTAAAAATCACTTACTCAAGTGCATAAAAGGCAGTTTCTCAACTTAAATTTCTTAAAAAAGTTCTAAGTAAGTCAGAATGGTTTGAGTAACTTTATCCAAAGGAGGGGGTGGATTTCCACCCTCTAGTCGATAACGCTGCTGTACTGTTACCTTTAGGAGTTTACGCTATTCAAAACCCTAAAAATTCAGAATTAGTTCTGCCTAGCTTTGTTTCTTAGCAGCTGATTACAATTTAGCATATTTCTTGGTTAGTGATACAAGTGGAAACAAAGTTTTCCATTTTGGTCTCCACTTTGAAATACAAATTGGACACTTTTTTTGTTTCTTCTTTTTTCAGAAAACTGCGCTAACGTGATCTAATTTTGTCACTATGCTTTTGGCCATATAAGATCGGGAGGAATGTGTACATATTGTTTCTTTTTGTATAGCATCAGTAACTTTTTGCTTTTATAATAAATTGACTCAAACCGCTTATTTTCCGTATAATTGTATAACGTATTTATGTATTCTTGGGAGAAAGTGCACTTAGTTCGGTGAACGAAAATGATGCTATGATAAAACAAAAACTCGAAGATAAAGAGGAAGATTCTGCTTTGGAGGCACTCGGGAACTATTTTTACGGTTATTCCTTTGTTCAATTTATTCTCGTAAGCGAAGTAGAAAGTTCCATTCTGGAAAAAACTATCGTTGAAAATGCTCGTACAATCGGGAAAAAAAGCTAAGTGCTCTGTAAAAAGTTATTTTCACATGATACTGGGACGGAAAGGAACATTTATTTTCTCAAACATCTTTCACTATTATTTGCTGCGTGTTATCTAACATGGATAAAATATTTTTTATTTGTATTACTATGAATGAAGGCTGATGTCAGAATCACTTTCAGAACAGCAATCGGCTACCATTACAACACTCAGTGATTATAATCTAGTCAAGTACTGCCAGACACGCTTCAAAGATCTAGTTAAGCCCATTCGTATAGAAGCAATTTTGTGTGTTCTTCAAGCCAAACACTGTCCTTCCACAAAAATGACAGTAGTGTCTGTCTATGCGCTGAGAAAATCCAAACAGTGTGATCAAATCTTCTATTTTAGTGTAATGAGCTAATTTTCAATAATAATCGATTAATGACAATTTAAATTAATAATAAGCATAGATAACATAATTTAACCATAAAAATACGGACTAAGAAACCGACTTTTTTATTTAAACTACATCTGTTAAGACAACAAGACGATATGGAATCAATCATTGAAACCTTAATACATCTTATCAGTAAACCAGAAAGATGTTTTCAACTTTGATCAGAAGTGATCTGAAAAATTGTTTTTGCATAAGAAATGGAAATTTTTTATTTTATTTTTTTAGATGTTTCAACGATGATGTCATCGGAAAAATTTCATTTTATATTTAGTCATGAGTTAGAAGATAGAATACAAATTAAAATGTAAGGAGTACTGACTATTATTTGATTTAAGTCATTTTTATTATTATTTATGTTTAGTGGTTCGCTTGAAGGCGAACGTCCACAACAAAATATTTCTGATATTTTTACTCGACACTCATTTGTTCGAAATCAAAATGATTCTAAACGTAATGAACCGTATGTTTTATGTCAAATATTTTCTGATCAACAACCATTATGTTTACCCGTTCAAACATCATACAAAGCGTTCACAGATAAATGGAGGTAAAGTTAAATCTATCTCAGAGTGTGAAAATGTTGAAAAATTTTGCATTAGTAAAATTCGTCTATTTTAGTTGGAATGAATGGTTAATATTACCTTTGCGTTATTGTGATTTACCTCGACACTCAGTTTTGACATTTACAATTCATGATATTTTATCGCCAACTCAAATAGCTATTATTGGAAGTACAACCATTTCTCTCTTTGCACATGATGGGTAAGCGAAGTCCATTGATTTATCTGAAATGTTATTGTTAATTGCAAAGACATTTTAAATTATGAGATATTTAAGTAATAACAGTTAATTTTGACTAATAACATCTTTTTCTTTTTAGGACATTTCGTCGTGGTATTTGTGATTTAAAATTATGGCCAAATGTTGTTCCAGATGTAAATTATGAATCATCAACACCCGGAAATATCGAGCATATACATACTGATTATAACGAACAAATTCTGAGTAATAATACAAATTTAAATAAAAATATCAAACAGCAACAAAAAGTAAAACCGCCAACAATCACATGGAATGATGAATCAGAGTATCCAATGTTAGATGAACTTAGTCGAATAGCAAAAGTAAAAATTAGTCAAAACATTTGTGTTTCTATGTAGATGTTTTTCTTATTTAGTTAATTAAAACACATGGAGATGGACATACAATAAGTCAGGATTGGTTAGATAAATTAGCTTTAACAAAAGCCCAACATTCCATCAAAGAACAATTGCCAAAGTCAAAATCAATGCTATTAATGATTGAGTTTGCAAGAACGATGATTGATGAAAATGAGTGTACCGTACTCTACTTCGAACCGGTATGCATATATAAAAATATTAAAATAAGTTTTTATCTCTTGAATAATACGATTTATTTTGCAATATTAGAATTGTGAAGAGATTATTAATTATCCATTAGGTTACACTGGTCTTGTTGTTTATGATCCTGAACTGGATATGGTATGTTTCTTTGTTTGTTTACTTATTTTGACACTATCTGAACACAAACACTTTATCGTTATGTTAATGTTTTAGGAAAATATTGTTGAAAGTAAACATTTAAAATTAGCAAGAAGTGGACGAAAAGCGATGGATAAAGATCTTAAACCAACAAGAGAACAACGTGATCGATTAATGGTAAATATATATCCAGTTTTTCTTTATTTTATAAAATCTATTAATCGATTATTTATTTTTATTTCTTAGACAATTCTAACCTATCCACCTGGTCAATATTTGAGTATAGAAGAACAAGATCTTGTATGGAAATATCGTTTTTTCTTATCGACACATAAAAAAGTATACTTTTAAATTATAAATTTATTTCATTTATTTATGACTATTATTTTTGCTTATAAATCATAGGCATTAGCTAAGTTTTTACAATGTGTTCATTGGGATAAAGAGGAAGAAGTCAAACAAGCTCTTGATTTATTACAACAATGGGTAGCCATGGATACTGAAGATGCTCTAGAATTATTAGGACCACTTTATCATCATCCAAAAGTTAGAATATATGCCGTGTCAAGATTAAAATTAGCATCAGATGATGTATGTAAATAAAAACCAAGATTAGACAAAATCTCTCATCTCTTCTTTTTTTTTCCAACAGGATTTACTCTTGTATTTATTACAACTAGTTCAAGCACTTCGTTATGAAAGATATGATTTTATGAATGCCTATGTGGTAGACACTTCTAATGATGAACAAACGAGGTAAATATATAATGTCAATTTTTTTAATACACACAAAATGTTATCGTCTTTTTCTCTCTCTCTTTTTTCATTAGTTCTAATGGAAGTGGTACAGGTGAAAATTATGCTAACGTTGTTCAGTCAGATTCTGCTAGTCAAGAAGTATGTAGAGTAAACAACAAAAATCAATTTTTCATTCAAATAATATTTATCCATTTTTGTTTCTCAGATTGATTTATCTACATTTCTGATTCAACGTGCATGTGATAAACCAATTGTAGCTAATTATCTCTTTTGGTATGTGAAGAAAAAAGAATTCTATTTCTTCATTCTCATCTTATATTAAATCTATCTATATTTAAGGTATGCTTATGTTGAATGTGAAAATAATAGTTCTCAAGCAAAAGATAAAGCAATTAGTGATATGTATCAAGCATTTGTTCATCGTTTGAGTATGACATTAAAAACAGTATGTTATATTATTATTTTATTCTACAGAATAATATCAAATTTGAAAAAAAACTTTTTTTTGGTCATTTTTTATGTTTAGAAAAATGATTTAACTCGACAAGTTCGATCATCAATTGATGCACAAAAACGTTTTGTTGATAAATTAGTTGAATTAACAAATATTGTTAAAAGACTACAAGGATCTGTTAAAACAAAGGTAAAGACAGACAATTCAAATTATTTAAAAATATTAAGTTTATATAATATTCTATTTTAGGAAGAAAAATTAAAAACATTATTATTAGCCGGTGATGATTCTTCTGTGAAATTTAATTTTCTTCAATTTGATCCAATACCGTTACCCCTTGATCCAGAAGTGAAAATTAAACGAATTATACCTGACAAAATTAAAATATTCAAAGTATTAATTTTTTCATTAACATATCAATGTTCAAATGATTTTTATGTATATCATGTTTTAGAGTGCAAAATTACCATTTTTATTTGTTTGTGAAACTGTTGAAGGTGAAGAATATTCTGTTATATTCAAAAATGGAGATGATTTAAGACAAGATCAACTGATACTACAAATTATAACACTTATGGATAGGGTAAGAATAGTAGAGATTCTCATGTCATAAAATAAAATTGATCTCTGTAATTTTAGATATTACGTAAAGAAAATATCGATTTAAGAATGACACCATACAAAGTTCTTTCAACAAGTATAAAATATGGTATGTTTCGATAATATCTCTTAATTCCATCTGTTAGATGGGAGAGAGAAAAATACAAAATATAGAAGTAAAATTGTTAGGATGATTATTGTGGTAAGATCACTAGTTAACGTGATGATGTGGATAAGAAAAAAGTAGTAGACTCTCTTTCATATCTTACAAGAATGTATTGCGAATTTTATAAGTTTATTTTTAATGATTAACTGCTCTTCTAGGATTTGTGCAATTTATTGAATCTCAATCATTACATCATGTATTAGAATACAATAAGTCGATAAAACACTATTTACAAAAAACTGTTGGTGTTTTAACGACAAATGAAACGACAGGTGGTAACGCAGGTGAAAATGATTTAACTATACCTAAAGAAGTAATGGATTCTTACGTTAAAAGTTGTGGTAAGATTGATTTTCTTGTCCTATGATAAGCTAAATGTAGATATTCTTTATTCTCTTATTAGCCGGTTATTGTGTTGTTACATATTTACTTGGTGTCGGTGATAGACATTTAGATAATTTATTATTGAGAGATACTGGTAGGTTGAATGTGTATAACTTTACTTTTGTTGTTTAAAAGATATGTATTCTATTATTACAGGACAATTATTTCATATTGATTTTGGTTTCATAATGGGTCGTGATCCGAAACCATTGCCTCCAGCTATGCGTGTATCGCGTGATATGATTGAATTGTTAGATCAAGAACGAGTACTTGATTTTAGGCGACATTGTTTTACAGCATTTATTATACTAAGAAAGTATGACACAAGAAAATCATGATAAAATGTTAAGACTTTTAAACTATGTGTGTTTCATTATTTTAGACATGCTAATGTGTTTGCTAATTTATTTTCATTAATGTTAGATTCAAATATTCCAGATATTGCTTTGGAACGAGATAAAACAGTGAAGAAAGTAAGCATCATTCTATCCGAAGTGTCGAAAAAACATCTACTATCAATCAATGCTCGGTCGTTGCATCTAGACGATAAATGCTTTTTTCGATATAACTAGATGACATTGCTCATGAATTAATATTTGCATCAAGTTAAACTTGGTACATGAAATACAGCTAAATAACTCGATGCTTCACGTAGAGCATTTAGACAAACGAATAAAAAAATATCGACCGATAGTCCGTCTAAAATAGCTAGATATTTTGGCTTGTTTACTTTTGTTTGAGATCAACCATGAAGAAGAATCGCCTTTTCGAAAAATGATCAATTATTGCTGTTTTTTTATAAAAAGCAATTTAATCAAACGGCTCTTGCTTGTTTACATCCTGAAAAAGATTAATCGAATGAAAATGCACATCACATCAATTCTTTTCGGACTTATTTCTTATAAATAAATGTCATTTTAGCTCCTAGATAAATTTCGTCTTGACCTTGATGATGAAAAAGCCGTTAGTTATTTAAAAGATTTAATTGATTCCAGTATACGAGCAATTTTACCACAATTCTATGATTATATACACGGATGGGTGCAGGTAGGTTGTTTTAGTCTTAATTTTAGTTTTTCAATGAATTTTATATTATTATTATTCTCTACAATTTCTTTAAATTTTAAACTATTCTTTTAACTTTATTTTAGCCCTTTAAATGATTGATAAACATTTTTCAAATCTATTTTGTTACGACTTTTCATCAAAGAAGAAGAACAAAAAGACTGCTCAATCTTTTTAGACAAGCAGCAATGAGTCATATTATCAAATGAAAACTAGGATGCCATTTGATGGTATCGTCATCTACTTTGGGCTTTTATGCTATTATCAGAAAATCAGATTAATTACTGACTTTTTTTATTGTGCTTTCATGTGATTTGTATAAAAAATAAAAAATGCAATTGATCGTCTAATCGCATCTAATGTAATTTCTTTTCACTCTGTCTATGTGTATGGGTCTATGATATGTATATTTTTCTCTTGTTACACTATTTTTGCTGATGTTGTAGCCGTTTTCTTTTGTTTTATACCCACACTTTTAGCGAGTGTAAAGAATCATACTATAAACTCATTTTTTTTCTAAATTAAATACACTTTTTCCTCTAAAACAGAAATTAAAAAGTTAAGTTCCACTTCTTTTTTTTTTTCTTTGTACATTTTTATGCGAACTAAGAACGCGTAATAAGAACAAACGGTGAAACAGACAGGTTTCGATTTGAATTTTAGAAATTTTCTAAAAATGGTATTTTATCAATGAATTGATGTCGATTTTATAAACTTAAGTTTATCGATATTGTTAAGAAGTTAAAAATTCAATTTTTTAGATCTATTTAAATATTGGTTTTCTCTATTTAACATGCCTGCTTTAGTTATTGAACGTCCAGCATTATCTGATGAGATGCGTGATGCCCTACGTCGGCATGTTATACGTGAAAGACAACGAAAAAAAGAAGAAAAACAGGCTAATGAAGCTGATAAACAGCGAAGACGAGAAGAAAAGGTACGTTTTCTCTTTTATCATTCTGATTCTTAGTGTTATTAATTGTTTTTATTCATTTGTAGGCAAAAGCCGAATTAACGAGTAAAGCTCAATTGGAGAAGAATGCTGAATTTATTCAGGATTTAGAAGCAAAATTAGATGATTTACAAAATCAAAAAAATGATTTCTGTAATTTATTAAAAAAGACTCTAAATGAAGAAGATTGTAAGCGCAAACAATCGCAACAAACAGTAAATAAAGAACCAAGTTGGACAAGTCTATATTCACCAAGTATATTTACATATTTTCACTTTCGTATATTTTATATAATATTAATCAATTGTTTCTTATAGATCTCCAACCAAATCAATATTTACAGCAACACTTTCTCACTCAGCCATCGTCTTGTCGTTTACTTGCCTATAAACCACCTCAATTATTAGCTTCATTACATCAAACTCATCAACAGCAATCAACCGCTCCTCCAACTCTAAAACGACCCCGTAGTCCATCACTCATCTCTACCACGAATCATCAACAACAACAAGTCTATTCAACTCCGTCAACTTATTCCACAAATATTTCAAAATCACCGAGACCATCGATAATGGGACCATCAAGTATCCATACACGTATGTTCTTAATAAAATTGATATAAACACAGAGGAATAAAACTTAGGGAATGTGTTCAGACAAGATTACAATCGAACAAGGTTCTAATTTTTGTTAGTTGTTTATTATAAGTTTAGTATTCTTTCAGGTTCTCCAAGTCCAGCTGTTACAACATATCCCTCGTCATCACCGTCTATACCATCGAATACTCATCCATCTCGATTACCTTCATTTCCAAATCCATCAGCGTTTTCAAGCTATTTGTATCCTATATCACTTTCTCTACAAAATCAATCACAAGCAAATAAACAGCAACAACAACAACAACAACAACAATCGCCTCAATCTCATTCTCCAACAGCGTCGCCCTCATCTTCGCTTCAGACAAATCAAAATAATTTATATTCTGCCCAACAATTACACCGTTTAAGACAACCGTCTCAACAGCAGCAAGAACAAAACAGTAAGTCTTTATGATGTTGTACTCGTTGATAATATGCAAAAAAATACAAGTTACTTCTAGAATAGGTGTAACAAATAGTTCGCTCTGTGAATGACACGCAAAATCTAAGATGTAAAACTAACTTTAATTATTTTTTATTAAGATTATTTAAATTCATTATCATTTCTACAACCTCCATTACCGAATCCTCAATCATCTGATTCAAAACAACAACATGCAGCTATCTATCATCCAATGTTAATATCAACAAAAAATGGTAGCATTATGAGTGGTTATCCTCTTCACAGTCAAAAATAAACTTTTGTATTATCGGACAGTGAAATTTTTTCTTTGTTTTGGCTGTTAATCAGCCTGTAATGAATAATGATGTGGGTATTTTTTTTTTCTTGAATGTGTAGTAGTACTCTTCTGAAAAATATCAATATTTTTTATGTTGTTACCTTTTGTGGTGTAATGGTTAGTTGTACATTGTGAAAATTAGGGATGAGCTTTGCACCTGTTATAGTAACGGGAACTGCGAACAGTCCCATTCCTAGTGAAAATAAACGTAAAATATTAGAAAAATAGTTTTAAATAATTCCTACTGAGATTGTTTCAGAGACGAATGCTCTGTTGTTCTTTTAACGACTCAAAGCTGCGAATCATATTGATCAGAAAAACGATAAATTTTTTAACTCTTTTTCGTTTCCAGCTGATAAGTTAATAAATGACCTTTTTGAAATACTCTGAAATGTTACATACTCTTTGACGTTAACCACGATGTCAACTTAGCCTGCAAAAGCAGATTGAAAAAGGCTGTACAGCTTATTAACCTAGCGTATCCTCTAAAAAAGACGTATTTTAAAAAGTCTTTAAAAAAAGGTTTGATAGTCAAAAACGTTTCCACAAAATCCTTCTGAAATCTCAGTAAAATGTTACCAGGCAGAACTCTTTTGAGTTTTGTAACAGACGTCTAAGAATTTTTTAAAAAATACATCTTTTTATTTAGAGAGAAAATACTTGAACTTGATTGAGTCTCAATGTAAAGCTCTATGTTAATATTGTTTGTATTTTTCAGATTTTATCATGATGTCTTGAATGATTTATATAGTGTTAAAATAAAACCTTCATTTATTTATTCATATAGAGTATCAGTTTTAATCGAATAGAACTAACTATTTACGAAAAAACCTCTCCAAATGCTCACCTCCATTTTCAATGATATTATGCCTATAGAAGATATTGTTCTAAGAAAAAATCTAAAATAGTTTGAACTCTCATGCATTTTTTGGTTTTTTGTTTGCTTATGGAAGAACTTACGATAACACTAAAATTTTTGTATCTATGTGAAAACAACGAGATACGAGCCGAAAGTTTTTTCAGCAATTGTCTTAGCTATCGGTTAATAGCGAAAAACTATTCGGATCTTCAGCCTTTCTAGATATTTAGTAATTAAATTTTTACTTCGTTAAGAAAATTATGTTTTTCATAACAGCACACACCATAAACATTCTCCTGCACCACTTTAAGTGTTATCGTGACTTCTATGAACAAACAAGAAGAAAATTCATAACTTTTGGAAGAAGCAACAAGAGTGCAAATTTTTTTAGATTTTTGTTCTTAGAACAATATGTTGTATCGATAGGTATAATATCATTGAAAATGGAAATGCTGAAAATGAAAACCTGCTCAATCTTCTATGGAAATTTTCATTAAATTTTAGTTTTGATCAATCATGTGGTACAAACAATATTATTTACTATTTCGCATCTTTTGTTTCAGTTCTTATATTCGATGATCTCGTGTTCAAAATTTGAAGATCTCTCATGTGAACTGTATTTCGATATATTTGATCATTTAAATATTTATGATATTTATAAATCATTCAATGGTTTAAACTCACGCATAGATCAGATTGTTAGAAATAAATTAATCCATTTGAATCTCGTTAACATACCACCATTGAAATATGAACTGTTCTGTTCGGATATTCTTCCATTAATCCGTCAGAGTATATTGTCGTTACGTATATCAAATCCACATTATTCACCTAGTCGTATTCAAGAATTTTTTACTTCGTTTTCCAATGATCAATTTTCCCATTTATATTCTTTACAATTATCTCAATTGCCATCATCAACCATTCTATTACGACAATTATTACCATTTTTCAAACAATTATATGAATTATCCATTCATTTTAGGCAAGTGAATGTTTAAAGAAAAAAAAGACTTTAAAAGACGTCTATTTATTTACTTTTTCTAGTCATGAACCCCTCGCAGAGCAAGTGAACACAATGTATGTTAGTCAGTTAATATTTAACGATGAATTAAAATCCTTAAGGGAATGTTCACTTTGTTTTGGATTAACATGTGTAATGAAATTAGATTTATTTAAAATGAAACAATGTAATATCGAAAAATTAACAATACAATCGATATATTTACATGATTTGTTAAAACTATTTTATTATATACCAAAAATTAAATCGTTAACAGTGACGGTGAAAGATGTTAGAAAAGGTAAGATTATATGTTTCATTTTCGTCGATGATTATCTAAAGTAGTTGCCATTTTTTACTATGATCACCTGTGGTCACACGTCGATAACTCATACAATTAAAACCGAATTAGAATATCCATCAAGCTGATGTCAAGAACCTTCAAAATATATATTCCGAGTTCTTTGATCTGAAGCCATTACTGAGATATCAGTGTTTTTTTAAAAAACTGATCTTAGATAACAGAAATGCATGGAAGACAAGAAACCTGCGAAGAGCCTCGAGGAGGAAAAATATTCTTTTGTTTGTGGATCGGATCTAAAGATTGCTGGGATAAGATCATTCCTCAACGACGATCTTATTTAAACCCACAAACAATAGACGAAATGATCATTATTCCGTTCTGTGGAAAAATACATGTGAAAGTTTTGATTTATTTTGTGTATTATTGTAACCGTTTTGCAATAAAACATGCCTTTTGAAAAGTAAAGAAACGGAAAAAGTTTTTTAACGGAAGTGAGACAGCGATGGTTTTCAAAGAGACAGAGGAGGATGGAGTCTGGAAAATCCCATGAAGTTTTTTTTGCAACCGAGATGCATGTGGGACTCCGCGTCCATACGCGTATAAACGGTGAAAAACGCGTTTTTTAGCCGTTTAAACGATATGCGAAACGCGTTTCAAGCATCGATTGAACGCGTTTCTATTATTTCGTTGTTTATGCGCGTATGGTTTCAAGCGACAAAACATCCTCGTGGGATGAGTCCCACGTGCATCTCGGTTGCTTAAGTAAACTAGATAAAGGAGACAGTATTAAAACATGTAGATTACCCATTTTTTTTAAGGCGAAAAATAATTTGGAGACTCGAAATTGTGTCAAAAATTCCTGTATTTCAACAGTGCTACAACAACTCCTAGAATTCAAATCTTGTCGCTGTAGCAAACAATTTTTTGAAAGACACCGATATCTTAGTAACTGCTTTGGGTTAGAGAACTCTGAATATATATTTTGAAAGCGCTTATGAACTAGAAAAAATTCTACAAAAATGAGTTTTCATTTAGACTAGTTTTTTATTCTTTGATAGAAGATCATTCCTTTTCAATATTACACTGAATTTTATTTTTAGATGATATAAATCAACAACAATTACTAACAGCTTTCGACAATTCTATTCTTTCATCTGCTGTTCCCTATTTAACATACTTAAATTTGTATACATATCAAATTGGATTTTCATCGATCGAAGTATTATTAAAACAATTTTTTCGTCTAGAATATTTTATACTTCGATCGAAAAATTTAGAATTAATCGATGGTCGACGATGGGAAATGCTCTTGACTACCGCCAATTTACCTGTATTGAAAAAATTTCAGTTTCAAATTGAACAGTTTCATGACACAAAATGGGGACAACAAAATGATGTTGAAAAATTAGTGGGAAAATTTCAGACACAATTTTGGCTAGAAAAACAAGAATATTGGGGACAGGTGAAATGTGACTATCGACCATCAGATTTTCTATGTGTGTATTTGAAGCGATGAGTTTTTTTTTTCTTCTTTGTGATACAGTTAGTAATAAGAACAAGCATTGTTAACATTGTGTTAAAAAACGTCTCATTTTCGTATATGTTTTTCTTTATTTGCTTTACTTTTTTTTTTTTGATTCTTTTTAATTGTTTTATTTTATTAAGTATTTTAGACGAAGGAAAAAAAGCGAGAATGTGATGGTGTTTTTTTAATAATCAAAAGTAAAAAATTTATGTATAATCTGGAAAAGTCTGATAACAATCGCTAGTGGGAGGTTGTAAATGCTTTTATCAAGACATAGCTATCTGTTATCTCCCGACTAGAAAATAGCTTTCTTGCCTACTGCTCTCAACTGACGGGGAAGGAAGAATCTTTTTTGAAATAAAACAACTTAAAACATGTAGTTTCCTTTATGTTACAGTAAACTTGATCATATGTTAAAGATAAAATGTATTCTATTAAAACGACACGAGACAAGTAGTGATGTTGATTACATTGTCTCAATTTTTTTTTTTGAAATGTAGGATACATCATTTTCTGCAATGCTGAAATTTATATTAACGAACTTTGTTAATCATTGTAAGATGATGTATGTGTGTGTAAAGACCACCAAGGACAACATATTTAAGCAAATATACAAAGCAACACTTTTTAATTTAGTTTTCATTGAAAATTTGATACGTTTTTTGTGGACTACTGCGCCGCAAAACTATACAGTTAGTCTAACATATACTGACAAAACTATAAAAAGCATGAGGATACATTGAAGAAACTTAATCCCTATCATCAAAATAAAAAGTTGAGAATTTTCAAGTTCTAGAGATATATATGTTATAGCTATGCGCTTCAATTCTGTTTACGATTATTATTAGCTTTTCCGAAAGCTATTGACAAAAGTAACTAACGATAAGTGGAGTAAGAGAAACACTGATCAGATAACTCTCTTCCTATCTTTGCAGCTGTCCATAATCTTTATAAATAAACAAGTCAATCAGAAACAAAGCCAGTCATCATTTCATTAGATACGTACCATATCCGCTTCTTCTGATTTATTCCTAATATTTCACTCTGTATTTTTTACATCAACATTTTATGGATGATATTTTTTGTGTTATTTTACTGAATAGAATCTAGAGAAACGTGTTTATATTACATTTTGTTATAAAAGTTTCTCGACATTTTGACAACGCTGCATGAGAAGTAATCACCTTCGGATAAAAACGATGAAACTCTAAGACTACGTAATCTCGTAGTGTTGAAATTGAAAGAAGGCTTTGCTCATGGTCAGTAGATGTCATGGATATTCATTTTTCGATGCAATATGTATTTCTCTTCTTCATATGTATGAAAGAGGGACAATTTTTTGATTATTGTAATAGTGTCTATGAGGGTATTTTTAAAACACATTTAACTTCTCGTTAAAAAAAATACTAAAATGCTTCAAGGATCATTTATGTTAATTATGTATCTTTATATTTGGTTGGTAACCGTTAAGGCTACCTGATTTAAACTAGAGGATAAGACTTTTAGTTAGTCTACATTTTTAAATAATTTTTTAAAAAATATTCATTGATAATAATGTTCTCTCTTTCATTTTACACTTTTTGAGTTATTAAAAACACGTGTTGCGCAGAGACGAGATAATCTTTATCATTAAAAAATTTCACCATTTAGTAGTGTGTCGAACTCTTGACTCTTATCAACAACGTTCACAATATACAACAATTGATCTAGCAGTACCATCAACACTTTTGAATCACTTTTTATTGGAAACGATTTTTAGTCTGTCTGGTTTATTATTATTGTCTCTTGATTGTATATCTTCAGTGCAATATGTACCCATGTAATTTTTTCTATGTCTTCACTTTTTTCTGAGATTTCATTTAAGCAGTGCCTCTATTACGTCTTTTAAATGCAATTAATGAATACTTTTTACTCTATGATGTTAAAAGTAATTGACTGACTGAGTATGTACTATTGCAAAGAAATTTTCTGAGTAAGGGCGAAAAACGAAAACGATGAAAATCCCAAATGATGAAGGTAAAAATGGCGAAAATGGAAATAAACGATAATGGAAATTGTAAATCAGTAAGCCGAATAAGACCTTTTGTCATAAAAGTTTTTAATTATTAACGAAGAGAGTAATGCTCTTTAGTTCATTCATTCCCATTTGAGTTACTATATATTCTAGCTTCTCTTATTCTTCAAAATGAAATTGTTTGATTCTAAGTTTATGCGTCGGAAGTAATCAAACTATTGCACTGTCTAAATAATGTTGCTCACCCTCACCTCACATATATTACAACACTATCAAACAATTTCACTTTTAAGAACAAGAGAAGCTAGAATATATAGTAACTCAGATGTATAATGAATGAATGAACTAAAGAGCATTACTATCTTCGTTAATCATCCCGCAAAAATTTTGTGACAAAAGGTCTTATTCGACTTACTGATTTACAATTTCTGTTATCGTTTATTTCCATTTTCGAAAATATTGTTGACTTTTTTTACTAATACAAATACCAGAACGATATTTTTGGGACATTCTGACATATGAGTACGTACCATGATTTTTTTAAAAAGAAGAAAAGAATTTTTTTAAAATGCTTTCTCTCATCAAATCATTACAGTGTAAATTTAACCGATACATCTAGAAAAAGATAAAGAATTGAATGATGAACAAGTTGAAATAAAATAATCTAAGATAAACACACATTTCTGTTGAACAACGATTATTTTGAGAAAATAATCGTTGAATTTTGGATTTTATTTTAGTTTTGTAATATTTTCTTTTTCTTTTTTTCAGTTTCAAAGTCATCAACTCTTCCACGTATGTGTTGTTGCTAGTGCCATTGTTCAGTATTACGAAATAAATGTATTAGCTCAATATCATACAAATATAGGAGATTGTAAACAAATAAATAGATATGCAGATCTCAATATTGGATCAGTAATTAGCTGAATGTTTTATTGTTCAATCTATCATGTTTTTAAACAAAGAACAATTGTGTTGTGAATAGATTTTATTATCACTTTTTTTTTATACAAATTTTTCTTTTTTTAATTTGTCTGTACACATATACAAAGCAAGCTTTTCTGTTCTTGCATTATTCATCATCAATCATTAGATTGTTGCTTGTTTTTTGTTTTTGTTTCATACATTCCAGTCTCCTGTTTCAATTTTTTCGTTCGTCTGTGATACTTATCTGTGATAATCAGATAAAAATTGAAATAAAATAATTATCTCAGTATCGTTTCACTGGAAAGACGATAAGTTTTTTCTTTCAAGTAATATGATGCTCTACTAATTTATTTCTTTTTCATTCAGATTAAATATTTTTGTTATTTTTGTAACGTTCATAAATATAACTTAGAATAGGACTACAAATGTGCCACTATGATATTTGAATAGATGATCTTAAATCTTTTGCAGAACTCGATTATCATCGGAACGGGCTTATGTTTTGCTTCAAATGTAGGCAACAGGTATCTGAACATTTGTATTAGAATAGCACGTTAACTTCCAATAATTTTTCTTGATTAGTAGAAAGCTAGTACATCGCTAGTCAATGTGAATGAAGAGCTCAAACAATTGGATGAAAAAACTGTGCACTTGACAAGCTAGTTTTCTAGCCAGAACTGTAATCGATCATTAGTAAAGAGTTGAATGATCAAGTTCGAAGAATGCCAGCTGCAAGGAAGGTAACGAACTACGCGAAACTGTATCAAAATCTAGAATTTATAGAACCAAGTGAATGTAAGAAAGATTCTATTTTTTTTTAGCCATAAAGAGTACAGTTGGACATAGGACGTATACGTTGTTTCGCGAGGTGCTGTTATGCGACATGTGTTTGTCGTGTGTAAATATTTTAGAAACAAAACATATTCCATCTATATTCCTTTATTTTAATATAAGAGAAATACTTTTAATGTAACGTCCGATTATTAGAATAATAGTAAGTTGACCAATCAATATGAGATTAAAATTTTGATGAGTGAAAACTGTCATTTTTCGTAAAAATGCTTTTTTTTTCTCGCTTCAGTGGCTATGAATTATGTTGTCCATTTCAAGTTTTACAGTGGATTAGTCCTGTTTTAAACAAGAAAGTATCGTATAGTGATCAAAGCATGTATTTATTGTTACTTACTCAATGATATCTTGAATATTATTATTTCAATCAAAAAAACCAATTTATTATATTTCAATTTTTAAAACAATTTTCTTTGATACAACACAAGAAGTAGAACAAAATCGACAAAAATCGAGATGAAAAAGAAGAACTTCAGCAAGAACAAACATGTGAGTAACGAGAGAGTGCTAAAGGTTTAGGAAATATGTCTTAATACATTCGCTGTCGTATACGTCGTATGACGTATTAACGTCATATATTCCAGCATGCGTGGTAGTGAATGTGTTAATATCTTGTCCATTTTTACAAACAATCAATCGGTTTAGGAATTAACATCTTTTTTAACAACAAGAGACGTATTATAAATTGTAATAATGTTGAAGAAGAAAATAATTTATATTTGAAATTTTCCCATCAGCCACAATTGATTGCATAAGAACTTTTTTCATTTTACAAATAATCCCTATAACTTCTTCAAAATCAAACACATTCCATTTGGAATTGTTTTTATTTTTTAAGAGAAACATCGAACCTATTTTATATCCAAATACGAAAAACTCTCAAAATTTTCCTTCTTTCAATAGTTAGAGTGGAAAGATCAAAAGTTTGTTATTTTCAGAAAATTTCAATCAAATTGTTCTTGATACTATAAAATAGAAAATTATATTTATAAAAAAGAAAAAAATGGCACACTTAACAATATCAGAAGATGTTGTCTAAGTCTAATCTGGGGCCTGTTTCTTAAAAAAACTTAAGTAGAAAATATGACTTAAGTCAAACTTAAGTCCAAAAAAGTCTTTGTCTTTTTTGACTTAAGTAAGATTTTCTACTTATGTTTTTTTAAGAAACAGGCCCCTGACTCCTTTATTTTCATTGAAAAATAAAACTTTTACTTGACTCCTCAGTATTTTTTCTATCATGTTCTACGTTGATATGTCGTAATAAACACATTTATAATACATTTTATTTTTAGAGAATTTCACAACAGCTCTTTTTCTCAAAAGAAAAAAAAAGTCTTAGAGATTAACTCTGACGAAGATATAAACAAATTAGAAAACTATCTCTTCATATCTGCACTACGACATGAAACTCAATTATAAAAGATATAATCAATCATGGACATTATTAATATATCCGTTTTTCTTTCTCAAAAGAGTAAATAAGAAAGAGTCTTTCTTAAATTTATACCATCGATTGATCTTGTTTCATTCATTAAAAAGAACATTTCTTATTTAGAATAATAATCATTTTTCATTTCCAATCGTGTCTATTTAGATTGAGATATCAGTACTTTTCTAAATATTTTCTCTACTTATTTTTTATATTTTCTAACACACACACAATTATATTTTTACTCTTATAAATAAATTTTATTATCTTTTATTTATTTTAGATCAATTCGAATAATGTTATTTACAATTGAAAGATTACCAAATGAATTATTTCAATTTATCTTTATTTATTTAAAATCTACAAATATATTCTATTCATTTTTTAATTTAAATAGTCGTTTTAATACACTTATTTATTTTTATTTACATCGTATTGATTTATCTTCATTATCCATTTTACAATTAAATATTTATACTAATATTTATTTACCATTTATTCAATCAACTATTAAATATTTAAAATTAAATGATAAAAATATGAAATATATATTTATATCACAAAATATTTTTGAATTCTATCCAAATTTAAATCATTTAACATTAATTAATATTGATAATGAAAAATCAAAATGTTTATCTTATTTATTATCATTTAAACAATTACACTATTTGAAATTTATATGTGATGATGAAATTATAAATGAAAATTATTGGATTA